TTGCCTTCTCAGGGGCGACCGCTACTAGAAAAAAACTTTTGTTTTATGTTGGGTTGAACCGGGCTTGAACTTGGGCCTTACGGTTGCCAGACGTACTGATCTTTCAACTCTTCTATTTCATTCATTTCTTCAATCAGTACGCTAATGTCATGATTTTTCAATTGTACTGATTTGTGCTGAATTTTAAATTGAAACAAAATAATTTAGGGTTTTCTTAGCCCTGTCAGTACAATCGTCCAACATGTTAGGCAAACTTTTTTGTGCTTAAAGCTCTCTTTTTCTTAATTAAAAGCTTTTGTTTTTAAAATAACATTTCTTTTACTATATTTTCGGGATGCAGTTGACCGTGTTTTTTCACAAAAGTGAAAAGTGTCGCAAAAGTCTATATCGAATATGGTAATATATAGGAACAAATAACTATTTTTCGGTGGAATTGAAAACAAAGGTTAAATGTTATTCTCAGTTTTTAAATATATTTCGCAAAACAAAAAAAGAAAAATTATTGACCACTGTCGAGTATAAAAGACGCTGAATAACGGTAAAAGCAAAAGTTTTATAAAATATTTGATTGCATTTTTGAAAACAATGACCTAAAATTTGCGGTAAACAAATTTTCCGATTTTTAGCTTCAGCGGCTGATTTTTTGTACTGAGAGGGTTAAGGTTTTTACATAACGTTGGAACTTCTTCACTGTAAAAAGTAAGAAGAAAATAATTTAATTATGATATAACGATGAGTTGATGATCAATTTCAATTTTATGTTGTTATTGTTGGTTGTACTAGGCTATTATGATCAAATTGGCTTATGTGCAAGAAAATACTTTCTTCACTTTGCTGCCCGACGTTTCGCCAACCTCCTTGGCATCTTGTGGGGCGTTTTCTTTATTAGATATCAACAAGAAACAAACATAAGGACGTTATTATTATAATATAATTTGTTGATATGTACACAAAACATTTGTACACACAAAACATTTGTACACACAAAAACAAGGAACAAAAAAATCTGTGACAATTAGCAATTTTTAACAGCATACTTACGGTGACCATAAATATGGATGCAAAATGAAGGACAATTTTTCAAAAATATGCCTACATATATTTACGTAGTATAAAAATATCAAAAGAGTATTTATGATTCTAAATTCTTAATACATTTTAAACTTTAAAAATGAATCACGTTTTCTTCATTGATATTAATCTTTTTTTACATGAATATTTATAAAAGTATAGTAAAACATATTATAATTACAATAGCTTACACAAGAAGTGGAAATCTTTAAAAGATTATTTTATAGGCAAATTTTGAGTCGATCAAAACGAAAACAATGAAAAATGACACTGAAGATGGCACAACGCCGAAACCGGTTTGTCTCCAAACCAAATTTGACAAGGGATGACGGAAAATTGTTCCACAATACATCATACTCCTACCCTGTCGGAAACACAAACAACCAAAAAGAAAACAATACCCTTCTTTTTTTTGTTTTTTTGGTACTTTTCGCAGTTATTTGTCAAAAATCGACGTCATGAATCGACGTAAACGACGAGTTACAAAGTGCCCTTTACAAAAATATATAATTTGTGCAGATTGCGCTCCATAGCATCTACATTTCTAATCCGATTTTCATTATCTTTGGCTCAAAGTTTACTGTAATAATATATCTTCTTTATCGAATTTTTTAAATAATGAATAAAATAATCAAATGAAACTGCGTATTTGATTGAAAATCTCACTTTTTTCGCCCTGTAGCACTACTAATTTTCATTGAAGTCGCCACAAGGTATATATTTTGGTAAGAGGCACATCAATACCCTTCGAGCTGTAAGTCGCTTACGTTAATTTGGAGATTTTTTCATGAGATATTGAAGAAAAGCTACGAAAAGTACCAAAAAACACTTTTTTGAAAAAATCCATCCATTGTCCGATAATTGTAAAATAACGAATAAACTGCGGGACAAATGCAGGACACTTGGAAAAAATCAGTACACTTTCAGGTTTTTCAGGTTTGAAAAATTACGCAGGACCGACCTTTGAAAAACAGTACGGTCCTGCAAAAAACAGAACGGATGGTCACCGTAAGCATACTGGACTTTAAACATTGAAAAACTTACATTTGAAAAATAAACTATTGTACACTTTACATTTAAACTTTAAAAATTTTTAAGCAGCGTTCATACCATCACCCTGTGGTACATTTGTGAAACTAACACTAAAAGGCTATAAACATAATAAGTATGCAGCCGCGATGTCGTCAGTGTCTTCTTTTTTGTTTATTGTTACATTTCTTTTTTGCAAAATTCTTAAACTCTCCAGTGTGTATCTTGTTTTTTCTCTTTTTTCCCTATCCACTATTCTCACCCGTGTTGCCATTTTAGCCGTTTTCTGGCTAGATCTAGCCGGTTCCGATAGCAAACAGCCGGAGAAATTTCGGTTTAGCCGGAAGCCGATTTGTTAGCCGTTTTGGAAAAAGAAGTTAGCTGATTTTGCTATTCCTTGTTTTCTGAAAATTCAAATATATGTTTCCATTTTTGACTAAGCGACCCAAAACTTGTTAGAAATGGCTACTAGCATTATTGCGGAAGCAGGGTTATATAAAATTGGGCCGATTTCGCTCATTTTTATTTTAAACGAATATTTTTTTTCTAAAGGCCGTAACGGGGATTTTCTTCATAAAATGTTTGTTATCAATGACTTAAATTTAAGTGTGAAGTTTTATTCGCAACCGTAAAAAATAACAAATTGTTTCACTCTTTGCTTAACACGCGTTTGTGTTTGGATATAGTGCCAAGAATAAATGTTACAGGTATTGTCTTCCCAGATAGCGCATATTCAATTCTGCCTTAATTACAAAACATCATTGTTGCCTACGCTTAAAGTTTTAAAGTAAGGGAAAAAAAATATTTCAAAGCACTATGTACACATATGGATTTATTTAAACTAACTTTTTTTCTGAGAACTTATTTAAATTCCAAAAACCGAAGGGCAACTTGAATTAAAAGAACCAACACTGAAAAGCTTAAAAATGAAAGTAAGAGTACAAATTTCTATGTAAAGCAAAACTCTAGGAAGACAATAGGTTTGTTCGTCGAAAATCCAGCGAAAATTATTACTCAAAATATCAGTTAGAAAAAATGCTCACAAATTCTCTCACAAGTTGAGAAACTTGCAAATTTCTGGACGAACGTAAATTTGCAGGAACTTGCAAGTTTCTCTGCCAGCTAGTGTCCACGGTTGCATTTAAAACATAAGAAATTTGTATAGATTTTTAAAATTCTTTCAGAGGTACAAAAAACAGGATCTACATGTATATTTCTTGCTAGTGCGACTTTCTTCAACATATGTTTCAATTTCTTTGCCGTACTAACTGTCGCGTTTCCTATATCGACTCTGGTTGAGATTGCATTACGAGTACGTTTCAAACCATTGGATTTAACTAAATTAATTAAGTAAACAAGTCTTTACTTAAATTTTTCATTTTAAAATCGCTCAAGTTTGTAAATTTTTAAATTTTACGAACCTGTTTATTCAAATTATTGTCGAAAAAAATGCAACCATGTGCCACAATCATATGTTTTTCCTAATTGCAAATTCTTGCTGGAACAATTTTTTCCAGCTTGAATTTGCAACTTCTCTCCAAGAACTAGTCTTTCTACTTATGATTTATTTAAATAAAACATGTGAAATTTTGTTGAAACCGTTTAGCCGGTTTCTTTGCCAATTTAGCCGATTGATCCAGAAAGTTCTGGCAACACTGATTCACACGTTGCACACTGGCCGAAATTGGATTTTTTGGCATAAATTCAAGATTTTTATAGCAATATATTCTTGATATCAGTTATTTTTCTAAAAGTACATATATCAACTAAGAAAATGTCCCAATAACAGATTTGAAGTTTCAACATTGTGCTCTTAGTTTGCCTTCAAAGTCATGTGTCTGATCAGCTGTTATTTTGCCAGATTTGGAGCAAACTTTAAAGTCTTGTGAACGGTTGTGTTATTATAAAAGAAAGAAAATCAGATATGGATAATGAAGGTCAAAGTATGTTCAATACAGTGAGTTAATGGTTATATCGTGTGTGTGTTAAATGTTGCTTTTATTTAATATATTTGTAGTGCATATTTAAAAAATAATACTTAACAATATGTTTGTGTTCCGTGGAGTAGAACTAGCAAGCTGACAAGTTATTAGACGAGCTAATAATACAAAAATGCTTACTAATAATTAGATTTTATTGGCCTAGTAACAGTTTTTGCTAATTTTTGCCCATTTTAACAAAATTTTACATTTTTAGTGAAGTTCGAATTTCCGCATGCAGAGCTTCTAACTATTTGGTGTAGAAATAATAAGAAAAAAAGACGCGATAACAGAGTATATCTTTACTAGAATTGGGAAATCTCTTTTAAGTATTGATAAAGAAAGAGAAATATGCAAAAAAGTAGCAAACTTTGTCGCTTTTACTACACTAAATTTACGGAAATGCAACCGACAATTGGATCGACTGAAGGTAACGCATTCACAGTGGTTATCTGGAAATATAGTCATAATTGTTGACAATAATAACACAAAAAAGCCCAATAATGTAGGACGACCCCATTTAACTTAAAATGACGCTGGACCCCTATTGAAACGGAAATTGGCTAGCGATCTTTCGAATGAGCACGATACTTCGCTACTTGTACATGCTGCTACGTTATCAGCAAAAAAAAATCTAATAGAGACGTAGCCTTTGTTTTAAAAGAATGTGTGAGGTCACCGAATGCGCCCAAAAGGTTAAAACAAAAGCTTTGTTCAAAGGAGCCAATACCAATAACTCCAGATGAAGCCCTTGCATTCTTGCTCGATAATTCATATACTAAAAAACAATATAACAACATGAGAGCTTTAAATAAAAAACAACACTGCAATATATACCCAAGTTATGACAGACTTGTGGAAGCTAAATTGAAATGCAGACCCCTTGGAATAAGCATCGATGAAACTGTCGTTCAAGTTTCATTGCAGAATTTATTGGACCACACCGCCAAACGCCTAATTTTAGTACAAGAACAAGTCTTCATTAGTTTTCCTGAAATCGCTGAACTTAGGCTTATTGTGAGCTATGGATTTGACGGGTCGACTGGCCAAAGCACTTATAAACAAAAATTTTAAAATGATCCGTATGCTCTTGATCAATCTTTGTTCATTACCACAATTATACCTTTAAAACTGAGTGAAATTTCAGGAAGAGTGATTTGGAATAATTCCACTCCACAGTCTGTGCGGTTTTGCAGACCACTAAAAATACAATTTATAAAGGAAACAAGGGAGCACATTTTAATGGAAAAAGAAGACTTGGATCTACAAATAGGAAATTTAAAGCCATTTATTTATACAGACTTCGGCAACCGAAATATCACGGTGTTCTTTGATCTCCATATGACTCTAACAGACGGAAAAGTGTTAAGTATCTTGTCAGGTATTAAATCTTGTCAATTATGTCCCATCTGTGGAGCAGGACCTAAAGCTTTCATGCAAACAAAAGACGTAAACTCTGCACATTTTAAGGCAAGGCCTGATAAACTGAAGTATGGCATTAGTCCCCTTCATGCTTGGATAAGAACCTTGGAGTTTGTTCTTAATGTGTCATATAGGATTGAAGTAAAAAAATGGCAAATAAGAGATGAAAATGAGAAGAAAATTATTGAGGCCCGTAAAAAACTTATTCAAAAACGGTTATGGACGGAAATGGGACTTCATGTGAATAGACCAAAGCAGAGCGGTAGCGGAAACATGAATGATGGCAATACTGCCAGAAGAGCTTTCTCAGATGTTACGCTATTTTCTTCAATATTAGGGTTTGACACCGACTTACTGCACAGTTTTCACATAATTTTGATCGCCATTTCTTGTGAATACGAGATTAGCGCCCTAAAGTTTAAGCAGTACTCGGAAAAGACATATTCGTTGTATATGGAAAAGTACCCGTGGTATCCGATGTCACCGACTCTACATAAAATTTTAATACACGGTGCACAAATCATCGCAGCCTCTGTAGTGCCCCTAGGCTGTCTTGGTGAAAGTGCTTCAGAATCCCGCAATAAATATTATAAGAGCGACAGGCGATCTCATGCTAGACAAAATAGTAGAACTAATAATATGGCCGACGTCTTCCAAAGAGCAATTGATTCCTCTGATCCATTCCTTTCAAGCTTATTTTTAAATAAGAGACAACAACAAAATCAAAAGAAAAAAATACCTAAAGAAGTTATTGAACTTTTGAAAGTTCCAAACGTTGAACCGCATTCCGACCATTTAAATACATCAGATTGCTCAACGGACACCGACTCTGATGCTGATTCTTTATGTGACATTGTGCAGCCATTTGATGTTCAGTTGGAGGTAGAAGAATGTTAAATATTAACAAAAAATACGTAGATATATGTACATATGTATGTATATAAAATTCGTATGAATAAAATTGTTTGTGGTTCTTATGAATAAAAACTTCGAAAGTATTTGCTTATTATAGCCGATTTGAAGTAAAGTTTTAACAGGTGGCAACCCTATCAAGAAATAATATAATAATATGTAAATGCACATCTAGAGGCTAAGTCGTTTCATTTGACAGTGACGGTGCAGAACTGATGCCTACGCTTATTATGATTGAATATAGTAATTTTCTTAATAGGTGGCAACCTAAGAATGATAGAATACAAGAATACGCCAATCGAGCTGAGAGCAACTGGGTGTGACGTCACGTTATTATAAGAATGAGAGTGTAAAGAATAGTTTTGAAGAAGAAGAGGAAGAAGCGAACAAGTGGTGCGAAATAGTGATGTAAAACTAGGTTGAATTGTACCTACTCTTCAGCTTCTTAAATTTGAACGTACATTCGGTACAAGCACATTATTTTAGGTACATTTGGAACGTAGTAAAATATTGTTTCATGTAAGTCCAGAAGTTGTTATGGTACAGAGGGATGATGTAGTCCACCAACTATCAAAAATATATGCATATAAAAATACATGTTTACTGTTTAGGTACGTGTATCTACTTTTAGGTACAACTTTTCGGTATAATATGAAAATTTAATATTCATCACTAGTGCGAAAAAAGTATAATGTGACGTCAGCGAAAGGGTGGATGCTGTCAAATCGAGAAAGAGAGGATTAGCGGTCCGCGGAAGGCGCCACCTTTGTTTCGCTGCATCGTGGTGGCAACCCTATTAAAAACAAAGGCATTAATAGTTTTCTATGGGCCAATGCCTTTCATATGACACCTAATTTTTTGTAATCCAACGAGCGGAGTGTATCTTATAGTTTTTTAGACGGGTGGCAACCCTATACAAATTCTAAATACCAACGGTAACTCTCCTTTCTATACAGAGTATACTATAGAAAATCTCGTCTAAATCCGTTCACTAGTTTTCGATATTAGCGCGTACAAAGAATCTCAACTTTCCTTGAAACTATGTATAGATGATACAGAGGAGGGTGACAGGGCGTAAGAATGATCTGATCGGCCCAACATTCTTGCCCTAACTTGCTACTAGCATGAATATCGTGTGTACCGATTTTGAGGACGATACCTTTTTTTTAACACATGTTGTGCTAAAGCGGTGCTGTTTTTATTCTTCCTAATGTCGGCTTCGTGTTCAGCTAGGCGAACTCCCACTGGTCGCTTCGTTGTGCCAATGTACACTTTATTGCAGCATTCGTTTTCGCTCTCTTTGCATGCGATTTCATATACCACATTGTTTTGTTGGTGGGATTCTACTGGGGATTTTGTTTTTGTGAAAATTGAAGACAAGGTGTTAGATTTGTATGCTAATATAATGTTCTGATTGCTGTTTATTTCGCCTTCAAGTTGTTGGTGGAACTTAGGTACGTATGTGACACTGTGATATCGCTTTGTCTCACTTGTTGTTTTCGATTTCGTTGTTTTGTTGTGCTGGTTCTCCATTTCTCTTATTTTCTGTTTTAGTAAACTTTGTATTAGGTGGTGCGGGTAGTTGTTGTTAGTTAGAATTCTGTTTATTCTATTAATGTTTGTGTCTCGAAATTGTGCGTGGCATATTGTTAGTATTTTATGCATAAGGCTTTTTGCTGTGTTTACTTTATATTTTAAGGGTTGCGAACACAAGAAATTAATTATGCGAACAGGGGATGAGGGTTTCGAAAACCAGTCAAGTAGTATGGAATTATTTTTCCTGTGAATCATGACGTCTAGGAATGGGATGCGGGAATTCGTTTCTGGTTCCATAGTAAATTGTAGTTTAGGATGGTATTCGTTAAGTGTTTTTAAAATTATATCCACGTCGTTTCGTCTTACAATAGCAAAAATGTCGTCCACATATTTAACCATAAATTTGATGTCAATGTTGAAGTGTTTCCTCTATCACGGTATTGTCCAATAAATTGTCCATAACTATGTCTGCAATCGTTGGCGAGAGGGGATTTCCCATCGGCATCCCAAAAGTCTGGGCATAGAAATTTCCGTTGCATGTGAAATAATTATTCTCTTTCAGACAGAAACTCAGAATGTTGTGGAACTTATTTTTCGGTATTTTCGTGTTTGGTTGAATCTCGTTCCACTTTTCCAGGATGATTTTAATAGCTTAATGTGTCGGGATGTTGGTGAAGAGGGATATCACGTCGAAGGACACCAATAAATCTTCCTCTTCTATCCGAATATTTTCGAGTTTTTTCTTTCAATTGGAATGCATTTTTTATGTGGTATTTTTCCATAACGAGGTTATGGCCGTAAAGGCAAGTCCGGTGTGTGTATCTTTGGTAGCCCATAAAGGCTAGGCGCTGTCGCAGCGGTGCATGTCAATTGTCGTTTCTCTTTAAATGCAATAATCTTGTTTTTGTACAAGTCGTCAACTAAGGCATTGTTTTTCCTCTGAAGTGTGGTCGCTGGGTCATTTCTTATTGTTTTATATGTAGTTTTGTCGTCAAGTAGTTGTTTCATCTTCTCTGTATAGTCCGCTTTGTACAATATCTCAGTTTTATTTCCCTTGTCGGCATCAGTAACTACTATTTCGTCGTTATATCGTTTTAATAGCGTTTTAGTTCTATTAAAAGTTTCTAAAATAAATCTTTCGGATGGGTTATGTTTAATGTTGCGCTCGAATTGGATGATTCGGTTACTTAGTTTGCATATTGCTGCTTCTTTGGTTCTATTATCTTTAATTGGATATTGTTGGGCAGTGATTTAATAAGGAAAAATAATAAAACGGGATTTAGTATGAAAATAGCTTCTACATATTTAAGTTTTTAAAACCCAGTTGTTAGTGGACATTTTTGTTGAGAATTTATGACACTGCAGCAATCCGGAGCCGAATAACTCCTTATGCACATATAATTATTTTCTGTTGAATACACTACTGATTGCTGAAACGGTAGATAAAATTATACACGAATACCAACCTAAAGTATGGAAAATACTTATAAACCAAGGGCTATTCTAATTGCATACCACAAAAAACATGACCCTTATTTAATATAGAGAAATCGAGGAAAAACATGATGCACATATAATTCTTTCACTAAGGTAGGTAGTGTATTTTATCAAACTGACTTTTTATTTATTTTCTCTTTCAACATACATGTACATGGGGGTGCCCATCGAAAATGTTTTTTTTTTTGAAGTTTCACCAGCAGTGTGGGTAAGGAATTCATCAATGTTTATTCAGAATTGATATATACCATCCCTTTTTACCAAAGAAGTGGTTTTTCAGGAAATTTTAGGAAAATGGGGGTGGCACCGCCCCCCCATATATGTGTATCTCGAAAACTACTTGACCGCCCTCAAGCAAATTTGGTATACACATTGCGCTAGGTAAGCGGTTACTCTCGATTGGGGAACCACTTTTTGAGAGTGAGCGCTTACGTTTTCGTTTACAGAATGCATTATTTTAACATGTGCATGTCATTGGAGGTAATCGAATAAATGTATAATTTCTTGCCATTGCATTACTGTAATGCAATGGATAAGCGAAAATTGTCTTGAGGCGACTTGTATTGCGTTACTCCATTGATAAAAAAATAAGTCCTTCTAAAAAAATTAAAAGCCGTTGCTGGGTTGTTGAGTACACACATACTGAGGCAAATATTTTGCGCTTGCATGGGTAGCTCTTACATCGCTGTGCATTATAGGTTTAGACAATCAAATTTTGTAATTTTTTGGAGAATTTAATGCCCTACAAGAAAAAGCCAAGAACAAGATGTTATGCCAAACGGTTCAATAGTTGTAACATTTTTAATGAAATCAAATTTTTTACATGCAAAATTTCAAATGCCCACCGACACCTTTAAAAATTGGCAGACAAATTTTTTCAAAAGGGAAAATTTTCTTCTCGGGAAAAAGGTACTTTTAAAGCCATAATTTCGTTAGGTCAGTTATTTTGGATCACCCTAATGTGCACGTTTTACTTTGATATATATATATTTTTTTTTTCAATTAAAACATACTATTGTATTGTAATTATATAAACTGCTATTACTAGAGGTATACGCCGCCGAGCCACACCGCCGCCCGCCGCCGTTTTTACAACGCTTTTTTGTCATTCCTCACGCACCGTCTCCGAGTGACAAAAATATCGACGCCTAAGAAACTTTGCACAAAATTTTCATGATGCATGCGCATTGAAATACATCGTTTGAAGGAACTACACTCGTATAAATAACGCAATTTTCGACGTAAAAATTACATTTTTAAAGGAGTTTTGTTTATTATTACAGTTATTACAGTTAGATTCGGGTCGAGCCTTGGTAATCTGACGATTTTTTTTACAGTAGTAATTTTTTTTTTTCAATACTACTCTTTTATATACATACATACTACAACAACAAGAACTTTATCACAAATTAAAAATTTTAACAAAGCAGTTTTAGTAGAAGTGCCCTTAACCAAGCAAGTTAATTTTTTTCTTTAATAAAGAGTTGAATATTTTTTAATCAGACTTTTAATAAAAAGCAAAACCTTTTTATTCTGGGGTCCTACAAACGTATACAAGTACTAGGTGGTTGTGTGAAAATTACGTTAGAATGGTGATCAAAACCCAGGAAAGTTTTGCTCAATTGCATCATAATGTTTCCTAAACAGTATTAAAAAAATCCCCCTTTATGGTAAAAAGTAGTATTATTTTTCATTACATTCGGTTATCCTTACAAAAATTTGGTATTTAATATTTTAGTGGAAATTTTAACCATCTATAAGCCATTTTTTAAACAGTAGGTCAAAAGGCCACTCTGGTTGATGGGTTAAACTGTTGGAAAAAGTAGACCACCCTTGCTTTCAATCCATAACCCGAAACAAATCGTGAGAACTCCGTAATTTAACCCTTCGGAGGGCGCGTTTTGAAAGTTACACGAGAGGGCGCGCCGCGGCAATTTAGCCGCAAGGTGCATCTCGAAGGTTGACTGCATTTTTTTTTTATTTATGTCGAAAAATCATTCAAATAAAACATTTGGAAAATTCGTGTTTATACTGAAAGCATTGATAAGCATTTATTTTTTAAATTTGTATCCGTTTTGTTACAATTAATACAAACAATTTTTGTTTTATTCCTGGTACATATTCC